CCCGTCCGTCTCTCCATCCACCCACCCATCCAACCACTCGCCCACCCATCCACCCACACATCTGACCACCCCCACCCACCCCCCTCCCTCCTGACACCCCAGCACCCACCTCCCGGGGTGGTAGGTCTCAAACTCCTCCAGGAAGACGCTCTGGCTGCCGGGGGGGGCGGGCGCGGGGCTGGTGCTGGCGTTGGGCTGGATGAGGAACTTGAGTACGGTGCCCGTGCTGGAGCCCAGGAAGACCACGGTGTGGTTGCCCCACGGCCCCGCTGTGTTGTCCACCACGATCTTGCGGAGCTGGTACCTGCGTGGTGCGAACGGAGCAGGCGTTGGGGTGTGCGGGAGCCCGCGTGTCCCCAGGAAGGGGGAAACTGAGGCAGGGTGGCGGGCTGGGACCCCCCGAGGGGATGGACAGGCTGCGGCTGGCCCTGAGCAGGGAGTCCCCAGGGAGCGCGAGGGGCCGTGCAGATCCCAAATGGAAACTAGTCCAGATCCCGGCCAGGACCCAGCCCAGATCCCACCCAGGAACCCACCAGACCCATCCCAGATCCCACCCACGACTCATCCCAGATCCCACTCAGGATCCTGCCCAAATCCTGCCTGGACCCAGCCTGGATTCCACCCACATCCCAGCTGGGACCCAGCCCAGACCCCACCAAGGAACCAGCCCAGATCCCTCCAGTCCCTTGGCGGGATCCCAGCTGGTCCCCAGCCCCACGTCCCCATACCCAGCCTCGTGTCCCCCTCCCCAGCCCTGCATCCTTGTCCCCAGCCTTGGGTCCCTTGTGTCCCTGTCCCCAGCCTTCTGTCCCTGTCCCCAGCCTTCTGTCCCTGTCCCCAGCCCCACATGCCCGTCTGCAGACTTGTGTCCCTGTCCCCAGCTTCGCGGCCCCAGCCCCAGCCTCGTGTCCCGGTCCCCAGCCCTGCGTGCCCATCCTCAGCCTCGTGTCCCCGTCCCCAACCCTGCGTCCCCATCCCCACATGCTCGTCCCCAGCCCTGCGTCCCCGTCCCAGCCTCGTGTCCCCAGCCCTGCGTCTCCATCCCCAGCGCCGCGCACGCCCCGGCTGCCCTGCCAGCAGAAGGCTATGGCCCGAGAGCGCCGCTTGATTAATTCCCCATCAAGCAGCAATTAAGGCCGATTTAATTAGGATGAGACAATCTCGACTGCAAAGTTTATGAGATTTATCAGGTCTCCCGGTGCTCTCCCGGCGCTGGCACGCACGTGCAAGGGCCGCACGAGAGGTTCCGGCCAGCACCCACCAGCACCCACCAGCCCCCCCGTCCCTCCCCGGGCCAGATCCTGCCCCGGGGTGCTCACCGACTCATGGTGCGGAGGATCCAGGGTGCGTTGCCCAGGGATGGCACCGCCTCGTCCATCAGCGGGTGCGTCTTGACAAAGTTGAGGATCTCGTCGGGGAAGGTGCTGGAGGAGTTGTAGCGCATCCCCGGGGACGCGCAGCACCCGGGCCTGCGGCCGCGGCACGGCTCAGCGTCCCCATGGCCACGCTGGCCTTGTCCCCAGCCCTGTCCCCAGTCCTGCCTGTCCCCAGCCCTGCCACTACCAGCCCTGCCTGTCCCCAGCCCTATCCCCAGCCCAGCTGATACCAGCCCTGGCTGTCACTGTTCCTGTCCCTATCCCTGTCCCCACCCCTGCTGGTACTGGCCCTGGCTGTCCCCAGCCCAATCCCCGTCCCCATCCCCTCTACCCTTCCTGCTGGTGTCAGCCCTGACTGTCCCTGTGCCCATCGCTGTCCTTTTCCCTGTCCCCACCACTGTCCCTGCTAGCACCAGCCCTTGCCCACCCCATCCTTGTCCCCGTCCCCATCCCTGTCCCTAACCACCCTCCCTGCTGGTACCAGCCCTGATCATTCCTGTCCCCATCCCTGTCCCTGTCCCCATCCCTGTCCCTATGCCCA